AACGTACAAACCGCCGAACCATTATTTTTGGCAAGCCTGTGCTTCGCTGGTAGGCAATGAAAGCTACAATCCTCTACGTTATTTGCTATAAAATAGAGAGATCGTATGGAAAATGAGACCCGATACGCAGAAAATATTCCCCCAAGAACTCTTTGGTTTACATTTGAAGCTTATTAAAATTCAAAGAGAACACCTGAGCTCCGAACTGGGACCAATTCAGGAACCGGTCTCTTTGGTACATTCAAAAAAGACCCAAGCTAAACTCTGTGGGAACACAGAAGAGAACCCCAAATATAAGCTAGCGTACAATGTGGGGCCATGTTCATTTTCATCTTGCCATATCCCGCTGGCTATACTGTAACGACTTATTTATTTTGAATTTACAACAAATTTGAAATGATAATAATACTGAATTAAATGTCATATAGATGAAATAAAAATATGAACTGTCAATAATCTTGAAAATATATTAATTTAAAATGTATTCGAATCAATTAACTGGCGTCTCAAAGTTAGAAGATGGAAATATTTTCTTTTTGGCTTCTCAGTTCTATCATCTATGGAGTAAGTGATCATTCACGAGCAATATGGCACGTTCTTTTCATTCTGAATTGTTAGTTCCAGTAGCAGTACGGCTATATCACACACATATTACATCTCTGTATGATTACTGCATCCGTTCACTTCAATAACCTGAAAAATTTGAACAACACAGCAGCAGAAATTTTATCTTTATTTTTGGAGAGTGAATGGGGAGGTGGGTGGGATTTTAGCTAACTATGCTGACAGCCTTTGCACTTGGTTAACAACGCATGAATGACGTCACGAAATGACATATTATGAAATGTGACTAAATTTCGGAAACAATTAGGATTGATTCCGGGAAAAACGGAGTTCTACTTTTATCAAACCAGTTTATCCTAATGTGATAAACTTAATTATTTTAATTTTGATATACGTTTTACTATGTTATAAATCAAATATGAGAATTTGAGTCAAATCGTTGAACATGAATTTGACAAGTAATCTCCCTTTAATAAAATCATATTGGTAAAAAAATAAGAAAAACTGTTATACGTTTATATGGATAAGAAAAAAGACTAATATACTGATATATTCGTTAACTTTATTGATGAACTCACTGTCATTTTGTCAAAAACTCACTGAGCTGGCCGTACTTACCTGCGGGGAAAAAGTGATTCCGATGTCTTTTTAAATTATCATTTTAAATTATATTGGTCCGAGTAATAAACGAGACAAGATCTCATTTAGTTATATATTGTATGAAATTCTCCTATTAAACAAAATATTCACAGATTAACAATAAATTGACGAAAAGTCGACCTACCCTATCTATATTTTTTGATATTTTATACCAGAAAAGCTCAACAGGAAGTGCCAGTAAAATATTTTCTCGCTTAACCATTTGGTTGAGATTTGATGGTATACCAGGCGTGTATTGTTCATTTAAATCGCAACATTTATTATATGAGGGGAGCTTCTCAAACCTCTTTCCCAACTTATTTTATTTTTGGCACCTTCTGCAGGAATGAAAAAAATGAATAGCAAAATCCAGAAAAGTTTATAATTTTCTGAAACATGAAATGCATTTAAAATTTAATTATCTAGTTTCTACCATGCCTTAAACATTTTCCAGGTGCACAGGTTTGTCTGTACTTAGAGTAAAATTTGTGGTGTAAATACGGCCATATTAGCCAAAAGGTTATGATGAACCTTAAATGCAATTATACAATAAATATAATCTCTGTGAACGACGTTTCCCTTTGGTATAAGTACAAAATGACACGTCTCTTTTAATCAGTATTTTTCCTGTTTTTATATGATACACTTTGAAAATTTCGTAATAATCAGGCCTACAGAAGTGTTTTATACCATAAACCTTAAAGAATTTTAAAATATGGCCGTGTTTGCACCACAAAATCTACCCTGAGTACCGACAAACCGATGTATACAGGAAAGTTTAAAGGCATGGCTGGACCTAGATACATAAAGGTACCGGTTATATGTAGTTTATGTTCCAGAAAATTTTAAAAATACCTGGATTTTGATGTGCAATTTTTTTTTCAGTCTGAAGAAGATTGCAAAATAAACAAACACATGATTTTCATTTGATACGGTCCACTCAGTTACACAGTTTAAATCACCTTTTGTTTGCAGATCTCTATTGTCCTTCTATTGTCCATATAAATCAATACAACTCACAACATTGACTATATGAGGGGAGCTTCTCAAACATCTTTCCAAACTTAGTTTATTTTGGCACCTTCTGCAGGAATGAAAAAAAAGCGAATAGCAAAATCCAGTTAAGTTTTTAATATACTGAAACTTAAAATGCATTTAAATTTTATATATCTAGATCCAGCTCTGCTCTTAAACTTTTCCAGATGCATAGGTTTGTCTGTACCCAGAGTGAAATTTGTGTTGTAAATACGGCCATATTTGCAAAAAGGTTATGATGAACCTTAAAACTCGGTATAATATGTTGGTTTTTGGAAAGTATATCTCCAGATAAGGAGACGTTTAGAATTTACCGACCTCTATTGTTCGAAGTTTAAATGAGGCATTCAACAATAAACAGATGCAAATAAATCAGTTATGACCACATACAATTCCTGTTATTCTTTGAAAATGATATATCGGGTAATACTCGCAATCGTGGTAATTATTTTAGCATATTCTCCAAGATGCGTTTACGTCAACGTATCGGATACTCTGGATACGTTTTAAATTGACCGACCTATAATTTCAGGTGAATACAGTTTTCAGATAAGTAAAGCAAAACCAAAGACAAAAAAGCTTTCGTTGGATGAGGCTATCTGTCTGCTATTATAATAGTTGAGTTAAGTAAAGGTGCTTATGGTATATACCTGGAAAAAAGTCAATATATATTGTATTACAATTATTTGAACAGCTCAAAATAAAAAAAAAGGAAAAACAGAAACACATTTAAGTTTTGTTCAAACAGTTTTACTCTCCATTATTAGACTGTTGTGAGGTCCAAAAGGCGTGTATTTGATTGTTATATTTTTTCATGGGATAGTTTGTGTGTCAGGTCTGTTCTGAATTTGGTAAGATTCTCAGTAATGAAAATACCATCTTCGTTGTGTTTCAAATATTTTTTTGTTTGTATATAAAATGTCTCTATTACGGTAAGAAATAAATCTGACAATGACTTGACACTTGCAATATTTAGCTTTACCTATGACGTGACTTCTAATAATATCGTTGATAGAGAGGTTGAGGCCAAGTTTGCTGTTGCAAATCCTTAGGATTTTGTCATCTGTATTGACTGGGTGAAGAATTTTTCCGCGTCCATCAACTGGTACTTGGATGTTATGAAACCGGAGACTGGTCCGACGAAAATACTACTCTTGGCTTTCTTACCTACTATCCATATCCTTGATTTTTATGGAGTGCCTCAAGCTCGGAACCCCAAAGGTCCAAAATTCTCGAATTTTCTTTTAACTGAATGTCTATTTTATCTATCAATATGAATTGTTTGCATATTTTTTCTGCGTGGTCATACATTTTGGCTTCATGTTCATCGATAGACTTTTGAAATGGTTTAACTTGTGCTGCGATGCATTTATGCACTTGTTCTTCAATTAGTGTTCGCTGATTTTTTTCAGCCAATACTGAAATAATTGTATTGAGAACATCTGGACTGATGAGTGCTTCAATGACCTTGTCTGTAATGGGTTTACGTGTTGCTGGTCAGCCTTGTGTCTTTTTTTATCGATATCTCGTATGTCACCTAATCTGTCGTGTATTTTGCTTTTGGTTGCAGCGAGGTTATCTGGACTATCAGGGCTAGACCTTTTGTTGATATTCAAAGATGGTGAGTTGATAATAGGTTGTGAATTCGTTAACAATTGGTCAGAACTGTGTTCACCTTCTCTGGCAATGGATGTCGCCATTGTTATTACTTTTGTTTTGATTAGAACCAGTTTCAAAAATGTTTAAAAAAGTGGATATAATACACGCGGGATTTTATGATTTTAGGGAGAAGCTATGGAGCGAAACTTTGATATATTTATATATGTATTTTGACCATGAAGATAATAGCTGATTATTTCTTGTCTGGATTTTTTATGTTTTAAAAAGTTCAAACACACCATCAATAAGCCGGTTTTAGACTTTGTCCAACTTTGAAGTGGCACTGCTGACTCAAAAATATAAAAAAAAATATCAATATTTTCTGATCTTAAAGTTACTTATGTTTACTGACTCTATAAAAATATCAAAATCACTCTAAATCCTGTTCCATTGTAGACGATCGCCATACCTGTTTGCCCACTTCCCCACAGCCCCGTTTACCAATATTTGTTTTTGCTCCAGGTCTGTTCGCCTCTGCTAGGCAAAGGGGCATTAAGTGTTACCCTTGACCGTCCGTTTAGCCCATTTCCGTTTCCACACTCTAACTTAAGTTTTCCTCGTCCAAATTTTATGACACTCCTACACCAAAATTCGCAATAAGAGTTCGAATTTCGGCAGTCAGTCACTTACCATTCTAGAATTATGTCCCTTTATAACTTGGAAAATTGCAATTTTTTAAGTTTTCTAATTCCAACTTAAGTTTGCCTTATCCAAACTTTATGTAACTCATGCATAATGCTAAGAACTACAACATGGGCAGTAAGTCATTTACCGTTCTAGAGTTATGCCCCTTTTTAACTTGGAAAGTAGCTTGAGCGGATACATTCGTGTCCTCAGACACATTATTGTTTTATCTTTAATCAGTAAGGTATAGAACAAATAGTATGAAAATAAAAAAAGGAATTCAACGGACATATTAAGAGAAATGTTTTATAATTTCAGCAGACCATGTTATACATAAATTTAATAGTCTTTTAGTTTCTTCGTGAACAAAATGTACTACCTTTGATTAACATTGAATTAGAGTTTTCAAAATAATGCGTTTATATGCTAAAACACTGTTAAATACTGTTAAAAAAACATCAAATTTTAAAAATATAGAGTCAAAGTGTTCGAGAATTTTTTTATTTTTTTTTTTATACAGCATACATATTATAAGCAAATAACTTAAACTACTGGAACAACACAGACAAATATTCTTTTTTTGGCCAACTGTTATACTTTAAATAAGAAGCATTTTCTGTGATAACCAGCTTAAAGGCATAGAAAAAACAACATCTTTTAGAGTATGATTCTAGGTTTTGAGATTTTAATAGTATTATATAAGCATTAGTGTTCTGTTAACTTGTTTTGGTAGTTCTATTTTCTTTTTCTTTGGAATAAAACGTTAAAACAAAGATCGTAATTATTTCTTTTTATGTTTTTCTCAACGATCAATGCAATACATGTAAATCATCATTAACGCACACCCCACACAACCAACACTATTTTGTAACAGGTTCTAAATAGCCATCTTTGTCGATGTGTTCTTCGTCTTCATAACTTTCTGCTGCATTTGCCTCCACGTAATGTACTTCCACTTCCGGTATTGTATGGTAATGCTGTGTAGATATCAGGTAACCTTGGTTATCAACTTCGTCCTTTGATGCTTCCAATCCCGTTTCATTATTTTGTTGCGAGTTATCTGACAATTCTTTATATCCTGGGCTATTTACCTCTTCGTTAGTATCTTTTATTCCGGTATATGATGAAAATTCTGTACCAGGTAACCTTTCATTTACTTGCTTTAGCTGTTCTTTGTAAAAACGTATTCTGTAAAATTATACATGTAGTGAGAAATATCTGAATCCTCCGACTAGCATATATATTAGATTAAAAAGCATCGTAATGTGCAAAATTTCTCATCATTAAATACTGCATTTAAATGAAGAAAAAAAACCAACTAACTATAACTGTACTTACAAGATAGTTTGGATAAATGAACATATGAAAATAACCAGTAAATAGGATATTTAGTAGACTACAGATGTAATCGAAAATCTTCAAATGTTGTTAAATCAAGGCAACATTACTTCAGTGCTGCTCATATCTCGATTAGAAAGAGACAAATCGAGGTAACAATAAAAATGAGTGAATTGCATGTTTTTTTATTAGAAGCGATACTGGGTTTGTCGACTTGGTACTGGTCTCCTGGTATGCATGCATGTATGTTTGAAGATCTAAGACCGCGATAACATGTCGCTAATGAGTTGAAACAACGAGACATCGTATCGATCAACTAATTTGTGATGATGAAAACAAAACTTTTTTATTGTCGATTTTAGTTGTTTCTTCTCATCACTATTCTGAAACATTTTTTGTGTGAAGAGTACAATCCTGATAATGAAGTGTGTATAGTGTGAGTATGCACGAATGTAACGTATTAACTTAGATTTGTAAACGTTATGCGATGGAACAAAAAGTATATTACAGCTTAGAAATGGGAAGTTGGCAATTGGAAAGTTGAAATCATCACGTTTGTCATAGATTCTAGTTTGATGTCGTCAATTAGTATCAATATCGCGGAAAAGAACAAGAAATGAAGCAGACATTCAAATGTCGGTAGAATTCTTAATCCTAAGTTCACTAGGATATTTGAGATGAAAGCACTTATTGAAATGTGGGTTCTTGAGTGATATCTAAAAATAAAGTTCAAATATTTTGAAAACTGCTGATTCTTTTTGCTTGTTCTGTGTGATTCTGCATTATATGAATACTAAAGCAAGTCGCCCAGTAATGGGGTACAATAATAGTACACATTGGAATACCGACTGTCAGCTGAAATATTTAGACACCAAACTCAACTAATATGTTGTCGATCAAAAAGTCCAGAATTTTGATGATATCATCTTCGGTGTATTTGTTGTGGGAATCGGTGTGGTTCTCCACAAAGTAAGATTTGTCAGGACCTTAAAAGCAATAATATATAAGTAACCCGAAGATTTCGTAATACGCATGGTATATTTACCGTTTGAATGATTTACAACTGATAATAACAACTAGATATATCAGGATAATGATAACCACAAGTTCTGCCGCTGCGACTAAAATAAAAATGAAAACGTAACTTTATAATATCAAATAAAAGTAAGTCGTTTTTCTTTAATGGAATTTCCAAAACAAATAAAAGTATCATTCATGTTACCCGCATTCAGCTGTAATGGCAAAATACTTTCATTATGTAGAAATCGTACAGGTTGATTTGATTTTTCTGTGTTTGTGATAGTTATAAGCAAAATAACTGCAAATAGTTTTTTTGAAACAGTAATTCAGAATAAGGAGGAATCTGTTTATCTTTTAAATATCTACTTCAGAGAGTGGCGAACAAATACACTGCATTTTGATTATCGTAGTATTAATGATCATATATGCAATGATGAAAACATGAGCTGAGAATTGTTATAAGCACACGCACATATATTTATCCTTTTTAACTTACACTAAAAAATATCACCAAGAAATCATGAACGGGGATAAGCAAGTTGTAACCTTTAATATAAATGCAAAAGTTGTCAGTACCTTGAAATATGCCTTAAGAGTTACTAATTACCTAACTTTTGAACGAAAACGAATAAAAGTGTTCATCCGAATGTCTTTTTCAGGAATGTATGAAAACAAGAAACGAAGTTTGTATAGAAAAAAATACATTAAATGTGTAGCCTGTTATACATTTAAAACGTTTCTTTAAGATTAAAATAGCAAATAAAACAAATCTTCCAAATCGGTCTCGGATTGTCTTTATGGCACGTCATCATTTATTCTCTTGGTCGGATGTCGGATATATTGTATGATTTTAAGATAAATACGCTTAATTTGTTGATTATTACTTGTGTATAATGATATTATCCAGTGCTATATTAGGACAATATTTGTCTTTCTTCATTGTACTTGTGTTTTTGTTATAAAGTATTTAGGTTTATTGGTTTACTTTCGAACACACCCATGTCAAAGGTATCGTAAAATTGTGTCGAAACATTCTTACGAAGTTAAAGTAAACATTAAGTAGAAAGAACTTAGTTACTGAATATGACTGTGAATTTTTGTTCATATGGGTGCTGGATATTGTAGCAAACAAGAGGAACAACTGCAGCTTGATGCTGCAAAAATTGTAACAGATCTTTTTATGTTAAATTCTAGTACAATTATTCATAATAAAAATGATAGAAAATACTTTTTGTAGACTATCATTGACCCAGGAATCGTTCATTCCTTGAACAATGGAACAACCTACATACTTCTACCTGCAATATTGACAGTTTAAGTAAATTTAGAACCGAATTAAAAAAATATAATTGAATCTCAAAATTCAAGTAAATCAACATTATGAATTTGGAAATCGTAAACTCAATATCATTATCTTGAGGGTTCTTAATTTGTTAGACTTGTGGAAAGAAAATAACATCTTGCTAGTTTAGATGCTTTATGATTCTATAAGATTCGTAGATACGTAACAACATCGTTACGTTACATTACAGTATTGTGCGCGAAAGTCCAGGAAACAATTACATAACATTAAGTTCTAAAGTCTCTTGGCCCATATTTACGACTTTCTGGGGGCCTCAAATTTTAAAGAAATTAACTTGTTTTAAAACGATAAATAATCAAAACCATTATAGTTCTGTAAATAGAGCACATTGAAAGTTTTTTTTTTTTGTAAATTTTCACATTACGCCTTTCCTTCACAAAAATCACTTATCAGTCCTTTATTCGCCAGTAACTATAGTTCTAAGGGACATTCCGAAACCTTGTGATTACCGAAACAGTTAAAGCAAACTCGTTTTTCCTTGGTTATTTTCGTGACAATTGTATCAGTGATCGTCACGGCACCAAAATCTTGAGGGTTATTTATTTGTTAGACTTGTGTAAAGAAAATTACGTCTTGCTAGTTGAGATGCTTTATGATTCTATAAGATTCGTAGATACGTAACAATAGTAACACTACAATAGTGTGCGCGAAAGTCCGGGAAACAATTGCATAATATTACGTTCTAAAGTCTCTTGGCTCATATTTACGCTAATATTTTGACACAACATTGATGTTCTGCTTCTTTCTTGAATTATGATTTTCATATAGTCAATATTATTTCAGATCCGTCCTATCGTTGTGGTGCTAACCATGCAAATTTATACCCTTTCCTTTTCAAATGTTCAAATCATGCTTATATTAAAAAAAAAGATATACTGTCTAATAATCTCAACTGGTTACAAACGAACTGTCCTCTATATTTGAACATATTTACATCCGTCCATATATTACTTATTTATGCTAAACATGGAATCATTTTTAAAGATGTATATAATTGTCAAAGAATCAAAGAGGTTTCTAATCGTGCAAAAATGCTATTATAATGTACATTCTGTGTATAAGTATTCATATCAACACACATCATCATTTTAAATACCAATATCTAATATATGTATTGTATTGTAAAGTATCCATTCATGCTTTCTTATTTTTAACTGCCATAAAAGAGGGGCGAAAGATACCAGAGGGACATTCAAACTCATAAATCGAAAATAAACTGACAACGCCATGGCTAAAAATGAAAAAGACAAACAATAGTACACAAAACACAACATAGAAAACTAAAGACTAAGCAACACGAACCCCACCAAAAACTGGGGGTTATATCAGGTGCTTCGGAAGGGTAAGCAGATCCTGCTACACATGTGGCACCTGTCGTGTTGCTCATGTTAGTACAAACCCGGTAAATAGACTAATTCGGTAGGTCACATTCGTGAAAAGGGAACGGGATTGTAGTTACGACATAAGGAACATATCCGCTATCATCTGTGAAACGGATATTCCATAACGGTCAACCAACTAGGGATGGCGTCCGTAAAATTTACGAAGGGATGATTTCAACTTCACCATTTGGAACTCTTGGTTTAATAACTTCATTGTGAGCAGCAACCCTCTATCAAGGAAATCATGATAGGAAATACAAGCCCGCGAATATCGTATCAATTGGAGATATATACTCCGTATGCAGACGGTGCGGGAATGTTGCTACATAGAAATGGAAAGTTCACAATTGGGAAGCTGAAATCATCTCTTTTGTCGTAAAGTTTTGTTTTCAACCGACCCTCATTGTCAATTTCTAGATGTAAGTCAAGATATGAGACAGACTTAACTGTATCTGTTGTATCCTTTATCTCTAGTTCGATAGGATAGATGCGTATAACATAGTCACCAAATTTTGAATTATTTAGTGAGAGAACATCATCTGTACAGCGGAAAGTAAAGTTAGAGGATACTGCTAACTTATTTTCTTTCTTCCTAAGAAGTTCCTGTATGAAGTTAGCAACGGTATACAGGAGATGACGTACATATATATTCATTGCTAGTTATATGATCTAAATAATATGTGTATGATATGAACATATTGAATTTTGATTGAATCAAATTGAGTATTGACTTAGGAAAATGTCCATATATGTAATAGCACTGTTGATGTAATTATAGCTTTTTAATGTGTGTACTAAGTCTGTATGTTGTATTGTTTTATTTCTCAACTCTCCTCCATGAACGAATTGTATGTTGCGGGGGAGGGGGTGAAGTTTGCTTAGGTTCAATATATTTATAAAAAGCAAATAATTATGTTAAATGCAAAGGTGATGATACTCAGTAGATTAAAAAAAATGTTACTTGAGGAAAAAGTAAAAAAGTGGAGCAGGATTTGCTTACCCTTTCGGAACACCTGAGAGCACATCCGGTTTTTTGGTGGGGTTCGTGTTGCTTAGTCTTTAGTTTTCTGTGTTGTGTTTTGATACTTTTTTTGTCGTCTATATACAAAAAAACCTTACCAGATACAGGAAGTGTCACAATACGTGGACTGTAAGCGATCGTATTCCTCTTTACTAAAACATATTAGTATGAGCATATTTACTACACCGTTGAATTCTGTTATTGATATAATACCTGAATACACATTATTATTTATTTCATTCTGAAGCAAGAGATATTCGACATAAATGCTCTAAAGAATTCAGCACAGTAATACTAAAATTTATGACTGACAGAAGGTCAAAAATCAAGAAGAAATTGAAACGACTGAAAATTGGTGAAGCGAAACAACTCTCAACAAACGGGTCGAAAGTTAACGGAATATACTTCATACAAATAGAGAGTAATGTTACAGTGTTGTGATGTCATGTGTGGTTTCCTTCCTGATTTGATAGAGTATGTCACATAAAACATATATATTGAAGTTCAACGGGCTATTTTAGTTGGTCAGCAGTTTTCGCTGTATGTTTGAGGTATCGCATATACAATTTTAAATTTAAATGGTATAAGACAAATGGAGATTAAATGTACCCTTTTACAATGACTACTGACTAATTATTGCTCAAGTTTTTAGAACAAAACAATTACGATTATGCAAAAATTTCATCCTTCATCATACATAAACATATAGAATTCTAATAGACTATGTCATTATATTTACATTGTTTTTCGCTTCTGGAAATCGTCTATTAAAGATGTCATTTAGCTTGGGTTTTGGGGGGAATTGTTCTTTTGTTTGTTTATTATCTGTGTTTTTCTTTTTCTTTTTTTTTTTTTTTAGTTTGGGAGGGGGGAGTTAATTCTTCTACATTAAAAAAAACAATATATAAGATATGAAGTCTCTAGAATGAAGGAGGGAAATTGCACACTAACTTAACCGGGAACACAGGAATGGAAACTTTCTTGAACATTCTTCTACGGTAAATTCATTTGTCTCTCCTTTCTTTACTGCTACACAAACATCTGTTCCTGAATGTTTTCCTGAAAATATAAATACGTTTTCATATATTGGATCTGCTTACCCTTCCGGAGCACCTGAGATCACCTGCTGTTTTATGTGGGGTTCGTGTTGCTCAGTCTTTTGTTTATCTATATTGTGTTTTGTAGACACTTGTTTGTTTTTTCGTCGTTTTTCTCTTTTTGACATGGTTGTCATTTTGTCTTCGACTAATGAGTTTGAATATCTATATGGTATCTTCCGCCTCTCTTTTATAATTGATATTACAAAAGATGTATAATGATTGCTAATAAGACAATCATAAACCAGAGAGCAAAAACAGTAGAAGTAAGCAAAGGTATGAGATTTTTCAAACCATTAATACGGAGAATTTGAATAGATGTCAATGGGACACCACCCTAAACACACACACACAAAAATCCAAAGAATTCGATTTCCATTATTCATTTACTATTTATTGTGATTTAAATTTATATATAAAATTATCTAGATATGTTGAGCTTCTTCTTGTAGCAGAAAAAAGTTTGTCTAAACGAACGATACATAGAAAAGTAATGATATAGATATGCTGTGATGGGAATCTGTACAATTGCCAATTTTATTGTCGTTTTTTATTATTTTGAAATTGAACCTTTCTCCCCAGAAAAGAACTTGAGTACCCTTAACTGGAAGTGAAAACAAGATGTTGATATCACTGCGGTCAAACATTCACGGAATCCTTCTAGCAGATTATTTAGAGAACAATAGTTATGGTTAAAATACATGAAAAGACAAATTAAGAAAACAATTACTTCAACGAAGAATACAAAAGTAAGAAGGGGATAAGTTCATATACCATAATGAGTGGATAGATCGTTATCATATGCCTTTAACACAAATGATCGTATACACTTTGTGTTTCCCACTCTCATACAAATGTTACTATGTTAATGACACCATTCCTGATTTGGAAATGATATCGAACTGCATAAATTTTTAATTTACATTGATGTACATATTCGTCTTTCCTTATATGTCCGTAAGTTGCTAGGTACTATTGACTTGTCTCATAATCTTATTATTTTCATGATTGTCATTTCTGTTTTCATCTTTACGCAGTTTTCGTATTTTTATAGTAAATTAACATTGAATATAACACAATATTTATGTTCGAAACATAATAAATGGTAATACAGCAATATCAAACATGTGGTAACATATACAGACTAGCAAAGTACAGTGTAAAGATATTAAACGATGATGGCAAAAGGAGTAAATATTCTAAATAATCACCTGAAACCACTGTATGAGACCTAAAGATTGGAGTCCAGAAAACTTCATTTTCGTTTACGTCATTTCCTATAGTATGTCTGTTAAACAATGCGTGACGTCCCTCCTTTAAACATATTTCTTGATATTCATACCATGATTTTCTTAATAGCACATCTACAGTTGTTAATATAAAATACAACATTTATTAATAATCATACTCATTTATAAATATATCATATTCAAATATAATGATATATAAATATAATAATTTTAGATGTCAGGCCGATACGAATTATAATTTCATGATGTAATTCACAATTTTAAAATAGTTTAAGTGTAAAACGACGAAGGTATCGTGTCATGAATTCTCGAATGGTCTATTAACAGTACATTTATTGTTAAAGAAATTTTAGCCATTCTTATTGATGGCCAGAGTATATATTTCACTTATTCATATAAGCCCACAGATGAAATACAACAAATCTGGTATCGAATTGTTACTTTTAAATGTTTCACTGCTTAAGGATTTATAATTATTTATTTCTGTAAATAATGAAAATCTCACTTGATGTATTCCTACATCCGTATAAATATTTTTCATTGCAGTCACTGATAGTAAACCTGTTTTGGTCTTTATTTGTCGTGACACATTCTTGTTCTATATACGTGTTTGTTGTCGTTATGTTGATATCTGTAAAAGAAAAAATAGTATTGCTACAAATGAATACGATAGACAACGTGATTTTAATGTCGCATATGTAATAGATTTTCAGTATCGAATACAATATCAGAAATGGTTTGAAATTGAAATATGTGATCTACCATCATATTTATATTACCTTCAACAAATGAAAATACCAGAGCTGACCGACCAGAAAAACAAGGAGTGTAGCTGGCGTTAGTACATTCTGTCCTGCAATCATTTACATCACCATTAATATCAGGTTTATCAGAAAGGCAATAACATCTAGAACTCTGACAAAATACAGAAGCATATCAATACAATAAATTTAAAGCAAAGGAACAAGACGAAACGTCTTTCAATTTTTTATAGTTAAAGACTCGAAAGAACGAAATTAGGTATACTTTGTGTAAATGTAATGTCGAATTAATTTTCGAAAATACATGACGATAAAACATTTAAAAGGATAAAAGGGTTAAAACAACAGTTCGTGATAAAAATGCATAACAATGAAAAGAGATTTGATATTGAATTGAAACACAGATAAATATTAAAATATTATAATATCATATGCATTTTTTACGCTTCTATCCAATTATTAGTCTGTATTGCGTATGATAAATCTTACTGTCACTAAAAAATGTAAAATTTACAAAATACAAATTGATCAATACACAGAAATTGAATTATAAAAAGGAAACTTCCCCCTACAAACACCGTTTTCGTTCAGCCTGAATTAAACTTACCTTAAGGACGAAGTACGAAGCAACTGAATAATCAGAACAATGTCGTAAACAAGCTTCCACAGTTTTTACGTCTTTGCCAGAATCAACAGATGAATTACTTCTTCCACATCCTTTTAATCAAAACATTCAAATTCATTCATTGTAATTTTTATTGATTTTATTTTTTTGGTTTGTTTTTTACCTCTATCAGCCAGTGATAGAACAATATTTAGAAAGAAACAATTAGTTAGGTCGGTGAATTTCACTTGATATCGGACAAGGATAGCATGCGTTAATTATAATGTTGTGTTTGCTTTGCATATTAAGCATATCTCTACATTATTCATCATACTTGTAGTTCTATAATAATGTTCTTTCTGTCTTAATAGATTAAGTCTTAACTGTGTACATGGCGATGAATGACAGTATTTTTACATTATATTTGTTGTTTCGAAAGTGAACATGCCAGCCTATAGTATGCAATCACTAGGTCGGGCCACTGTTGGTGGACATTTCGTCCATGAGAAAATCACCGGCCTTGCAACCTAACGCAAAGTGTTTGTTAATTCCAAACTCTAAAAAAATTGATATCAGCATAAAATGTCCATTGACAAGTAGTCAAAATGAAGAGATCTGCAATAGAGAATGAAGTAGAATTGACAGAAACCCTTTTCTTTGATATAACTAACATTATATTATTGTAAATCTATATGAAGAAAGGTTAAGTGTTCATCAGATTTGATAACTTGCAGTTTGTTTATAGTCTATTCTATGCCAGGAATCATGACAGCTGTTATTGCTGTTTTTGGTGAAAAAAGTATTAACAAAAATACCGAACTTCAAGGTAAATTCAAAACGGGAGAAGTCAATAAAACCTGACGATTTTTTCCGAAGAAAATGGTGAATTAAAGCTGGCTTCATTTTAATAGCTAAACCTCCCACTTCTATGACAGTTTTGAAATTAAATAAAATAAACATTATCATTGTTATAGTCATGAATATACACTTCAAAATGAAAAGGCTCATCATTCAACTACGACAGAGGAGATGATTTCAATATTCCACAATTCACTTTCCTTGTTCGTATAGAAACAATGTTATATTTTCAAATGTTTCACGGACACAATCATGATATTTTGTAGAAACCATGTCTCGTCTCTGTTTCCACATACATTATTTATAACCGAATAAGATTTTAAGGGGATTTGCACTTGTTATAAGCAACACAGAAAAATTTCAATAAAACTCAAATGAAAAACATGTTTCCACGCCCCTCATAAATGCATCGTGCATATTCTGATAAGTTCGATACTTAAATAAAGTATAAACGATTACCTTCTTTCTATACCTTATCTTTGATTTTTGTAAATAATATGTTGATTATTAGGAATATTTGTAGGAGTAAAAACACAAATGGAAAAGCATATTCGCAACTGTTTCCAATGCAATATATATATTGACTCTCTTTCAATAAACTTTTTATTATCTTTCAAAACCTAAAACATCCTCAACTGACTGCATTTGAGTAAACAAATACCTTTATTCCAACCTAAATTGGATTCAAATTAATTTCTAAAGCATATTAAGATTCACGATGAGATTTATATTGCTTCATACCCAATTATACATATGTTTTTTGAGAAATTTCTTATATAAATTTGAACAATGGCCACTCTAAATAGACTTAAGAAATTGCAAAAAGTTGACAAAAACTTTACAAATACTGGATGAAATCCCCAGAAAAGTGGTTGATTCAAGCATTATAGCAAGCATAAAGTCTTCCAAATTTGTCCTACGAATAATCCTCTCAGTCGATCAATACTATGCTAAATGGTTTATCAATTGGTTGAATTTGCCAAAAGAAATGATTGAAATGTTTCTGATAGGTTTTTAATTTACTCTTTAATAACAAAACATTGGTGCTGCATGACCTAAGCTTAAAATGTTTTACAGGTGTTTGTTTAGCATAAATATTTTATTTACAATCCCAATTCCTTATCTGAAGGTACGTCAGTGATCTCCACTTTCTGATCAGGATGCCCGACTGCTTATCATAACAAACAGCTAATTCATCAACCTCGTTCAAATTCATTGTTTTGCTCATGATGACTGTCAGTTGATGATCATGTTCTTAAGTTGATTGAAGCTGGCCATGTGACAATGTTGAATGCTTAATCGTGTTTTCAGTAAATGTATCATTTTTATCATTCATGGCATTGATTATCATGTTGGATAAATTAACCTCATTTTGTGAAATTTGAATTTCAGTTCACCAGCATTATTACGCTTTGCCATATCACGACAGCAAAATATCAGTAATTTTATCTAAATTCTAAAAATAAAATATTGTCTTGGCTTGGCTTATTACTTACAAGAACAGGTCGTACTCCTGAAGTGACTTATCCTGATATAAAGTCCTACAATTCTACTTTAAATTAACATTATGAAGGGGAACATTTACAAAACCTAATTCTACATCCTGAATCAAAACAATTATACCAATAAAACGCCCTCAAATAACAAAGATCGAGAAGCGCCTTTTTTTTTTTAATGAGGACGGATTGAAGATGAATATAATCAATAGAATGGGACATAAAACCTTTACAAACAAAAGGTTAATATTTTTCTCTTGGTCATGACCTATACGGGAGACTTTTCAGTTTTGATAAAAATTTACAGATTAAATTATAGGAACAAGGCTATTTTTCTTCTTTCTTTTTTTCTTTGGCAGTTCCGACATTCAGATAATACATGCCCTTTTTCTTGGAATAACTGTAAACAGGTCCATTATTTGGATCCTTTGACTTTCTCTGCTTATTGAAATACTACTACTAGTTTTATATGTATAAAAAAAAAATATTTGATATGTGGATTTCTTTTGCAGATCTTATCCTTTCACTTTTTCAATTTAGAGATATTCATCAGCTATAGTTACTTCTTCTGTAAGTTTATCAGTTTTATACTCTTCTAGATGGATTGTAATATCAATTTAACACGACAGGTGCCACATGTGGAGCAGGATCAGCTTACCCTTCCGGAGCACATAAGATTACTAACAATTTTTGATGGGGTTCGGGTTGCTCAGTCTTTAGTTTTCTATATAGTTTTTTGTATACTGGGTTTTTTTTCGGTCTTGTTCGTTTTTGTCATGGCGTTGTCACTTTATGTTAGACTTATTAGTTTGAATGTTCCTTTGGTATTTCTCCCCTTTCTTTGAATGCAGTTTTAAACTCTTCAGATACAATAAACTGTCATAAATTGCCATAACTTTTATCGATATTTTTACTACTGGCACATCTTATAAACAACAGTCCTTTTTTTCTTGCAAATTCTACATAATTTTGGAGATCTTTTTTTTTTAAACCATTTAGTTGTTGGTATTAGTTCGTATATGTTTTTAAAAACGCTTTCTTTATTAAAACATAATTTGAACTCTCTTTTACCGCAAAAGTACTGTAAATTATCTGGCTTTGCCAACAAGGACAAGTTGCAAAAGTAAAGTCCAAGAATTCTTTGGTCATTCAAGACCCTCTGGTTCTTTGAACAGTGCAATAACTTTCACATATTTGCTAACATCAAATTTCATTTCGTTTGTTGTTATAGTTTGAGTTACACCTTTGCCTCATTCCATTTGTTTCATTTGCTTTTCCATTTATTTTAAACATGAATTCTTTTTTTCTATTCTATTTGTAGTCATTATAATTCTCTCTCTCTCTCTCTTTCGTTTTCTTCTCCTTCCCTTTTTGTTTTCATTTCTAAATCTTTTAATCTGAATTTTCTTACTTTTCTTTTTCTTTTCCATTTCTTCAAAGTTGAGTTGTCTCGTTTTTTTGTTCAATGTTTAGTTCTTTTAATATAATAAGATCAGAGTCAACACCTGTATCAATTTTCACTGCGGATTCTTGCAAGATGTCTTCATAAACGAAAATTTCGATAACAAGATTTCGCATTTCAAATTTAACATAAATTGCTCGACCTCCAAATCAAATGTTGCCCTTAATGGTATAAATCATTTCTTTTGAGGACTTAAAACTCCTTTTGGAACATAGTTTTTAAAAACTTCTCTACAGTACAAGTAAGTAAATTTTAAAAATCAATAATTATACTTATTTTTTTCAAGTACATATCATCTGATTTAATCCTTGATAAGCATCCAATTTATGTTACGATTCAGTGAATAAGAAGTCACAGAAAAAAACCAGCAAATTAACAAAAAATATTTAATTCACAAACCATAATCTTAGACAGTTATATATTCTTATAGATCAATGATTTCAGTCACTTTCAAATTATATTCCAAGTTGATATTTCAAGTATGTTAAAAAACGATATTTTCTAAGTATATTACCAGAAACATATAACACAATATGTCTCTGATATTAGTTTTAAAAAAAAAGATGTGTAATACGTGTTAATATGCAAACCATGGTACTGCACTTAAACTACGATTGCAAAAATTTATCAACATATCAGGCTAACTTACTATGTCGTTTATTCTCTAATGGAGAGATGTCTTATTGGCAAATATACCACATCTTCTTTTAAACTGAGTTTTACTGTGCGTATTTGTTTATTCCACATTGTCTAGAGGTATAGGGGAGGGTTGAGATCTCGAGACCTCACAGAACATGTTTAACCCTGCCGCATTTATGCGCATGTCCCAAGTAAGGAACCTCTAGCCTCTGATTGTCGTTTATGTTTTTTTAAATTTTGGTTCATTTATATGTTTCGGAGTTTAGTGTGGAGTTCATTTCGCTGAACTAGTATACATTATTGTCTAGGGGCCCACCTCTAGGTGCGGAATTTTCTCGCTGCGTTGAAGACCAACTGTTGGCCTTTTGCTGTTTTCTGCTCTTTGGTCGGGTTGGTGTCTCTTTGACACATTCTCCGTTTCCAATCTCAATTCTATTACTACCTTCTTCAAGATTATGATATAGAAAAGTTTGATTTTTTTTATGTTTAAGTTTGATTAACAAGGGAGAAATCCAAAAAGAATCGCTCGTAACATACTCGTGGTTTATTATTTGTGTTTAGTGTTCTGAAATGTACTCTCTGTTTATTTCCTCTAATATTGAACATATAATTTGGCGAATGAAAAATGGTCTTTTACTGAACTAAATCGTTTTTCAAGAATTTTGCAATTATCATTGAGACACTTGATATACCTCTGAAAGCAGCAAATTTTGTGTATTTAATTACTGTTCCAGTCCAAGCTTTATCATCTTCCTGAACGGTCGTGTTCTCTAATAAATTAACAAATATGTCAGTGGTGTTGATGTTGTTAATCTCTGGTAAAGAGCACACCTGGGAACTCGTTGTCCAGTTACTTTTGGGAAATCCGATAAAGATTGAACAGCCTAAAAAAAGAAGACCTAAAAGTTTTATTTCAACTAATGAACAAACGCATATGCCAACTACTCTCTACAAGTCCGATGAAGAGAGAACCTCTTAGAAGTTGTAAACACACTTGTTTGTTTTTTGACAATGTTTCAAAACCAAACAACTGTTTAGCAATCTAATTTTAAAACCCCTATTTCACTGTTTCTAATCTAATTCGTGCCTTATCAACGATTATGACAGATCATGTACCAAATTTTCCAGGAAAAAAAGGAGAACAAGTACTTCATAAGTGTCATGTGTCATAAGCACTTTTTTATATCAACCTTTATCAGGAACGCTCAAAGCCGAATATTTGAAACCCAAAGATGCATAAAAACTAAAACATTTGAAGAGCTATTCGACCAAAAAGGACCTAAAATAAAGGACAAAAAAAATCCATGTCAGGTCAATGTTGACAAGAAACACCAAATAATGAAGAGCTGCTTTTCCTGGTGCAGAGATAACTATTATTTGCAGTAAAAATAATTTAAATGATTCTGAATTCAACAATCGTTCATACTCAAAAATCAGATATATGTACATGCATTTATTAATGTGACTGTTAAACAACTGGCAACAATGCGAGATTAATTGTTTCGCTTTCAAACATTTGAAGTAATAAACTTAAAAATGCGAGTTTGCGAAAAAATATCCGTGTTAATTCTCAAACATGTAAGTCCCCTACTCTAGGAATGGAACCGCCACTATAGGAGTAGGGATTGACTATATAAGTAGCGTTTTATTGCAATCACATTGTCCGTCCGTCCATATGTCCAATGAATATTTTCTTCACACTTTTCTTAGAAACTACTAACAAGAATAACTTCAAATTTGTTCAACAACTTGACAAAGGGAAGATATAGCGTCTGAACACTTTTTTAAAAATGTCAGATACCTATATCCTGTTTGCCGATACTTATAACTTTTCAATATTTTGGATGAAAATTTAAAAATTTCTTACTGGTTTCTCCAATACCACTGAACAAAATGAATTCTTATTTGGAAAGCAGCTCAACATTGATGAGTTGTAACGTGTGTGCGATATTGGATCTGTTAAACACCTACTTCCTGTTTTCTTAGACTTTGAATTATAATTGTGAGTATGCTTAGCATGACAACGACTGCAATCTTGTTTATTACAAATAAAAGGGCCATTTAGATTCCAATTGTCTCCTTGGTGTCATCTCAGACCCCGTTCACACTTGCATTTTTTGAATCGATCTAAATACCAATTAGCGCTCACATTTTCTTTAATCCTAACGATCTCTATAGGTCTAATCTGAATCACTGCGTTCACACTACAAGTAAACATGCAATCGATCTAACCTTATTATCCGTGAAATTGTAAACACTGTTTATAAATAGAAATATTTAAAATGTGTTAATTTCCCGCGAATTGGGTAGCACACGCTTGCAAAACAATAATGGATGAAGTAACTAGTATTTCTTCACTTGAATTACAAGTTCAAATGTTGATACTGTTATTCTTACAGTTTTTGTGATAAATTGCACATGTATTTTTGCTATATGCATGCCGAAATCTGTTTTTGATTCATTCGTACTACTTTAAATCGTTCTCTGCGTTCATATTCAAGGTAGGATCGATTCACAATAGATAGATTCAAACTAAACTACCTCTTTTCGTGTTTTAGTTTAGACCGATTCAAAGCGTTCACACTGGACTTAAATCGATTTAAAGTGAACCGATCTAGTTTAAATTGATATATGACTATGTCGGTACATTGTTGGGAAACAAAAGAAAATTCCTCACTAAGACTATGTCGGTACATTGTTGGCAGACAAAAGAAAATCCCTCACTAAGACTATGTCGGTACATTGATGGCAGACAAAAAAAAATCCCTCGGTACATTGTTGGCAGACAAAAGAAAATCCCTCACTAAGACTATGTCGGTACATTGTTGGCATACAAAAAAAAAACCCTCACTAAGATTAAGTCGGTACAAATGTATTTTATATTGTATAAAGAATATATGCATATCACTGTTAATATAAATACTTCTTAACACTTAGCAATCGTAATTAATGAGATGCATAACTTACCAGAAAATGAGATGCAAGTCGTCAAAATAAAGAGCTGCATTATAACATTCATTTTTGCTGTATGAATTGGTATTGATTATTTTTTGTGAAATATATTTCAATTATTTCCTCGATTAAATTCGTCACTTAGGAACAGTGCTTTAAAAGCTTATGTGCTATGACAGTATTCTAAACATAATTAGCTGTTTTTATTGGTTCCTTTTAATTCTTATCTTACTTATATAGCATACAATGTATATAATTGAGTGAACATTTGTGATATCATTTGATTTATTTTTATTATCATTAAATTTTGTATAAAATATAATAAAATTAGTTTGATTATTTAACCAATTTTTAAGCAATTAATAGATAGCCTGCGTATTCTCGGTAAAAAAATACATATATAAAGGTATAAATATATATATAAATATACTTTGATTTTATTTATTTTTTTTTGTATTTTTTTTTTTACTTGATTGCACTGCTGGTGCAGATCTCCTTCCAGAGGGTATCACCATCCCAGTAGACAGCACTTCTATGTTGAAATGAATTATCATGGATATGGTCATAGTTCTTGTGATTTTATTATCTAATTCTTTAAATTATTATGGAACACATTTTTTTTTTTGCAAATACACAGATTAATAACAGTCATAAAAGAGTCTTTCCTTTGATTTATTTGTTATTTTCCCAGATTTCATTGAATTGATGAGTGCAAATCCATCGATATCATTTATGTTCTCGTTTTCGTTTACAACAAGCTACATTGGATATATTTCTGGATTGCATAAAATTGCATTTTCTCCCATGGAGGCTCCCCTTATTTTTTGCTTTTTCATTTCTGGACAGATCTTTACCACATGGTTCAGTGCGTGCTCTGTAATGAAGAAAATGTATTATTACCTTCTTACTGGTTCATTGGTAAAGAATATCTGTGTTAAAACGTTATCACGATGCTGCCTATATTATAACTTGTATATTTATTTTTTATATAATTTATGGTATATGTAGGTCTTACGTACACTTCGATATCAAACATACTGAAAATATTTCGCCCGTACAACCGGATCCGTTATTTAATCAAAATAAGGTAAATGTACATTTTCATATATGCAAACATTATATTTAGAGTATTAAATGTATAATCTATGTACACTGTCAACTATATAGCAGGAAAAAAACCCTTCCTCTATAAATATGCGTATCCGTCTTTACCTCACAGGAAAAACACACAACATGTTTTAAGAAAAAATATATGAAAACCTTACGAGGCACGTATAGGGATACTGATGCCGATGTATTTAAGATTACTAAATGTTTAACTGAAGTTTGGTGTTAAACGTCTTTGGCTAGAAGAATATTTAGACAAATAGAACATAAAATCTCGCGTTTATCTCAATAATAACATTAACGGTACCATTAATTGTATTGCACTATATACGCATTTAGTCAATTTATGTCTCTTCAGTGATACTCGAGGCCAAAATACTTAAAAATCCAAAATCTTATACAAACATTGAAGAGCTGATAAATCCGAAAGGGACCAAAAATAAAGCAAAAGTATATGCCATGTCAAGTGTGAAAATTCTTTAAAACAGCCAAATTGTTCATTTAGACAATATTTTCCGCTCTTCTCTGAAACCGGAGAAAATAAATGTGTTTAACACATGGAATGTATATATTCCAGTTATTCCAGTTAATACCTTTTTATTTCACTTTTTGTTATATTGCTGTAGTTTCCTTTTTTCTTGGATATTTCTCATCAAAATGTTTATAAATTTCAAAAGATAGCGACCCAAAAGCGGCCTAAAATCAAGGAAGAAATGAAACAAAGATGCAACTTGTTTAGTAACAATTGCAATAATGATAATGTTTGGAACAGGTTTACCAAGTTAATTAAAATTGAAATAAAAAATAATCCCATGACAGGGAAAACACGATGCCTTAGTTAACAGATTATATACCTTATAGGTTTTTTTCGTAAAAACAAGTTTATTTCTAGATTTTTCTTCGTTATATTTTGAGACATTCTGGAATATTTCATGTAGCACATTAAGCTGTAAATGAAATACTCTGTCAGTAAAAATAAATTATTTTGAAAAATAGAACAAAATAGACATTGTTAGTCTTGTATGTTTTTTTAATTTTAGTTCCTTTATATGTTTTGGAGTTTAGTGTGACGTCCATTTTCACTGAATCAGTACACAATTTTATTTAGGGGCCAGCTGAGGACCACCTCCGGGTGCGGGATTTTCTCGCTGCGTTAAAGACCCATTGGTGGCCTTCGACATATTCCCCATTTCCATTCTCAATTTTATTATAAAGATTCAGTTTGATTCAATTAACTTTAAAATCCAAGAACTTAGATTTGAAACTATTTCACAGTAAGTGAGTAAATTGTTTAAGGTTCCGGTTCCTACTTGCAGAAAATTCGTACGTGCAAAATGAATTGCAATTATTTTTTGTGTGTGCATATAATGCACTTAAAGGAAGATTGGTAATCGGAGGAAACATAAACCTAATATTGTAATAAAATCTTAAACAGGTTTGTCTATTCTTTAATTCATCTTTTATTTCAATAGCTACACGAGTGTATCTGCTGGTTGAGATTCCCTTCCCGAGGGTATCGCCAGCCCAGTAGTCAGCACTTTTGTCTTGACATGAATTATCATCGATATGGTCATAATTATACATTAACATTTACAAAACTTTGAATTTTCGAAATACTAAGTATTTTCTACCCCAGGATTAGATTATAGCTGTATTTGCCAAAAACCTTTCGGAACTTTGGGTCCACAATGATCTTCAACTTTGTATTGTACTTTATTTGGCCTTTATAACGTTTTTGATTCGAGCGTCACTGATAAGTCTTTTGTAGATGTTCGGAACGCGCGGCTGTCGTACAAAATTTTAATCCTTGTATTATGATGAGTTTATTTATATATAATGTATTATCTATAAGTGTTCACAATTCAGGTAAATCCAGAAAATAACGCAACTAAAACAGAAACGTTTGAGTGACGTCAGTTGGACATACGTCGGGGAAATATATATGTGTGCCACGTTTAGGAAACTTGGTTATGTCTTGAGCATTGTGAACTCATCTAGGTTGAAAGACATGTCTGCAGGTTTCCATTTCTGTTCAAATTTTTTTTTAAATTGGGCTTCACTGTATGTGTGACAGATCATTTAACAAAACATACAAACTGTTTCGTCTATTTATTGTATAACCTCTTGCATTGCATTTTAAGTGAATATTGTTTCATATAGAAGTAAAAAGGACCTCGCCATGATGAAGATCTGGCTTTGCCTACATATCTTATTTTATGCAAAGAAAAAAATATTTCATTTTATTGCTGCTGTTTTAAATTATGTTTTGTCTCCTACAAATCAAGTCTCTATTATTTTGACACACTAAATCAAGTTTTGCCTAATTATGTCTCATCAAATATCAATAGTAATATTAACCAAACAAAATAAACGTTACATACTTCCCCCAGGACTAAGTGAAGCAGGACAAAATACTTGAATGTGGAACAATAAAAAAAAATCTTATTTCCTGAAAGAGGTACTTTTCTTTTTTGACCAATAAATTAATTGTTTCCTCACATCCAGGAATATAATGAAATTAGACATAATGATTATTATTTGAAGGGCTCAAATTGATACATCACATCTCTTCCCATATTTAATCAATAGACTAGTAGAGTATGAATTGCTGATCCCTATTAAGCACCTAAGTTTACCTCCGGTGTTGCTGGGCTTAGTGTTGTTCAAATTTTGTATAATGTGTAGTGTGTTATGGTCTTCTTGTAGTGTTTAAGATGACTTTCTTATACTTTATTGCAGCTTAACACATATTATGAATATTTATGAATGTCCATAATATTTTTTTATTAACAGCAGAGCTTACCAGAAAAAGTCGTACAATGTATAAAAAACAGCTAGTTGTATAGCAAGGTTGATTTCTCAAGGAAAAATTTGATGTTCTGATGTATCAAACTTTTTCAATTATTTATTCGATAGAAAAAACTTTTGAAATTTAGAACTTTTATTTTCTTTTCTCTTTGATTCATTCGAACCGTTGCATTATTAAAATTACGTTATGACTATATTTGGAATTTATTCTATGATCTTAATATGTACTACGGTCAATTATGTTTACATAGGTGTTTCAATGTGTGAAAAAAAATTGACAATCAAACAAATTAAACAAATTAAACAAGTGTTTCCGGTACAAAAAAAAACTGTGTAAAGGTTAGCTGTGAGATGTACTTATTGTCATTTTGTATTTCCTTGTATTATACTGTTTATGTGAATCTTCAACAGTAGACACTCTCTAACATTGTAGACTAGAATGGAATTTATGACAAAAATCTCTTTTTTGTTGCTCTTGTATTGCTGATCTTTTTTACTGATTATGTTTTCTTTCTATCTTCTTAAGTTTTTGGCCAAAACACAAAAAAAGGTCTTGCCAATCATTTTTACTATTTAGAGTGTCTATCTATCTTTTATCTTTCCAAATATAGACAAAAACACTAAAATTAGTAAATAAGGCCATTAAAGAGCAATTACTCCACTAAAGAGTCGACTGACAATTTCAACAATGTTAACTTATTAGTAGATCTCGACTTGCAAATCCTTTTTGCTATTTATTATAGTTTTTAAGATATAAGGCAAAAACTCAAAAAAAATGGTAAAAATCGTCAATAAAGGCGATTACTCGAATAAGGAATCGTCTGACGATTCTGATCATTTGACTTATTTGTAAATCTTGTAATGTTAATCATTTTTGCTATTTAAGTTTCTCTCTATCTGTTATAGTTTTCAAGATTATGGGCAAAAACAATACAAATTGGTAAAATTCATCATTTAAGGGCAATACCACCTATAAGAAGTCGTTTTACAGTTTTGATGTAAACAGACACAAGGTAGATCATAACATTTTGAACATTTCTGTACTGTCAGATTTTCTCTATTTGTAGCGGTTTTTAAGACAAAAGATACATTTTGCATTTTATCATACCATTCTATTTTTAGCAATTTCGGCCATTTTCGTTGGCAGACGGTGTCATCGGAAACATTTTTTAAACTAGTTACCTAATAATGAT